TTTTTTTATAACAATAGCATGGTACGAAAAACAAACTAGATATATGCTACAGGAAGATTTTAATTTCAATCTTAAGTGGAACGGTAGTTGCCCTATAAAAGGGATGCCGTTTTAACTGTCGGCAAGCTGACCTAGTTTGTGAATTGTCTGACCAAGCCACCTAGCTACTTAATTGTTTGACCAAGTCATTGTTAGTAGATCAATAATAGTATATAGTATTATGGAAAAACTCAGAATTACTGTGTGCAGAAAATTAATGGTATCTCATTAATTAGTGGCTTTTTCCAGCTTCTATCCGATTCTTTCGAGTGTGCAAAAGATAAGAAAAGCTATCATGGGTGTGTGTGTGTGGATGCATGATAATGAAATAGCAAAGAATAAAGTCATAAATCAACAAACACATGTCGGTGGATAAATATTTTATCTAGCTAATACGCGACTTTATCCTAGCTAGTTTCAACCCGAAACAAAAGATGACAAATTAAGAAGACAATTTTCCATTAAAAAAAAACATTTATATATAGATCGTCGGTGGAAAATTGCCGCACTTTGTATCCTACATGTCCAAGCAAGCCCATTTAATTTCCACATCTGTGTGTTGGGATATACGACGGTTGATTCACAGCTATCTTCTCGCACATCATTTAATTAATTGAAAAAATAGAAAATTTCATTGTCAAACAAATATATATTAATTATTAATGCCTATAGTTGACTCGTTACTTTAGTATTATTTATATCCAATTTATTAATTATTATTATTATATCGGTTTTCATGTCTGTAGATTAAATCCACTAATATTCCGGTTTAGAAAAAAGTAGATTATTGTATTAGTACTAAACAATTGATAAGAAGTTGAAAATCGTATTTCTTATAAGTTTTACATGATATTTGAATCCTATTAAGTAGGGAGCATCTTCATTCCTCCTTTCATTAGGCCATCAATTCTAAATTTAATCAGAAAAATATCCTCGACAACTCAATGAAATTATATATATATATATATATATATATATATATATATAAAACCTGTTTTAACTTTTACCATGTAGCATTGTTCTTATCTTGGTCTGATGTTTGAATACCAAGAACTACCAGCAGTAGCTACTGACGGTGAAAGAAATTACACGAGAAAATGAAAAAAAGAAAATTAAATACTCCTATGAGTCCTATACCATGATTCTATTGATCGGTCATCGAAGCATGGAATATTGCGGCAATAAAGAGGTTTCTTTTTTCAATTTATTACGGGGAGGAGCATGGTCTGGTAGAAGAATTAGTTAAAAATGACGGTGTCGACTGTTGACAAATGAATGCCATGACGAGAAACATGGGAATCCCATATTGTTTTATCTGTCTTAACACTAGTCACGAACCCTGCATACGTACATTGTGACCATTTATATGCTTCCTGCCAACTACTTTTCAATACATTTTTTATGATTAAATTAATTATAAATTATTCTTTTTAGTTTTAAGAAATAAATTAATTAGTTATTTTTTTTCCAAAGCCTAATTATTTAATTTTTATTTTTTAAAACTCAATCATTGTGTTTTTGTCAATTTATTTTAATTTTTTTATTTTTAAAAAGCAAAAACAAAATAAAGAATATAAAATAATTGATGAGAAAATATGATATTTTTTAAATAAATAATATTAAATTAAGTATAATTAATATCAATCACGAGATTAAATAAATAATGTTTTTAAAAATAAATTAATTCATTTCTCTAAAAATAAAAGAAAAAATTTATAATTACTCATAAATACCAAAAAAAAAGTCGTAGCATATTTAATAATTATATATTGCGTAATTAAGATTGTAATTAATGCTATATGTTCTTTTTTTTTTTTAAAAAAAACTATTTTGTTCTATACAGTTTAGTCTTCAGTAATAAAATCACGAGAAAAAAAATTTAACTAGTTTTGTTGGGAGTAGGGACCGGAATCGCCTCCAATCAATTCAATTTGGCTGGAGATCAGTTGAAATTACCAATTAACCATTTGCTTTTGCAAGCTTTGCTCATGTAGTTAAGATATTATAAAAATTAACATACGTGTAGTCATTTGATTTTTACTGACATGATTTGCCATGTCGTCCATTAATTATCACTTGTCGCCGTAGATGTTCCAACAATTTGCGACCGTGTCATTGGCTTTAACACGCATTGGAGGAGTTTTTTGATCGAACAACAAAATTCGCAAAAAAATTACCACTTAACTATAGAAAAAATGAAAATGTAATTGACTTTATATATTAAGATGCAAAATGGTACATTTTCTCTCCTTGTACAATATTTTACAACTTTGTAATTGAACTTTTGAAAATGAAATTTGGAAAAACAAAACTCATTCCATCACTAAAGTTTCTAGGTATGGAGTGATAAGAAAGTTATTTTTAATTTATTAAGCTATGTGTTTTTTTTTTTTTAAAAAGTTTATCTTATTTTTTTATGTGGCATTAGATATGAATTTTTTTTAATGGATTCAAAAAATTTAACTTTTAGAATCGATTGAAAATTTGACCTGATTTGATACTAATTTAACTCAAAAAATAATAAATTTATTATGGATTGATGTAATAAATATTTAAATATATATATATATTTCAAAGCAATTTCGAAGATTTTTATTTATTTATTTTGCAAATACATATTTTTTTCAGTTAACAATTGCAACCATAAGGAATTTGTATGATAGTGCATGTGCTAATGTCCCCTGCTGACCCTCGCTCCAAGTAATTTATGTCCTTTCTAAAAAATAAATAATAATAATAATAATAATGTATGGCAGATAAGCATATGCTGTGCTAACTTAAATTAATACTGGAGCTTACTAATTTTTATGAGATATATAACATGAAAAACAAATTCGTTTACCTAATATCTATAATTAAAAGAGTAATTTTATTCCTCCTCACTCAAAGACAAGGCTGGTCATCATTGATTTTAGGTAATGAAAACTCTGTGGGTGCGTGTAATTTAGGGTCGTGTAAGAAATCATTGCGGACCTGTCTTTTACCTTTTCACCTTGTGATTCTGTTGATGAAAGATTTACAGCCAAGTAAGTATACACTAATTATTTAAAAGAAGATAATAAAATAAAATAAAACAAAAGCAAAGAAAGAGAGAGGAGAAGAGAAGACAGAACGCAGACAGCTGGGCAAAAAGTAGCAAGTACTAGAGACTTTTATATAAGGTTTGGTTGCAGATAGATAGATAGATAGATTTCTGTGTGCCTGCTTCTGTCTCGGTTGAGGTTTTAAGACATCTCAGTTTTAATGTATATCCCATTATCCTAACCCTTCCCCCCTTCTTTCTCTCTTATGTTTTGAAAGAGAGATCTTAACTCCAACATACATTTCTATCTATTCAAAGTTGCTGACAATTGGGAGTTTTAAGAAAACCAAATAGAAACAGGTGGAAAATTAAGGTACAATTTCACATTGGTAGTGAGTAGCACCCCCTGATCTTCTTTGTCTGTATTTTGTCATTCTTGTTGTATTGCTTTTTTTTTTTTTTTACTGTGTTCAAGTATTCTCTGCTAGTACTTTCTTTTCTCTGACAGATAGGGATCTATCCTTACCATTTATTTGTGTGCTCATAATACATGTATGTCCTTTCTTCTTCTTCTTCTTCTTTGTTTCCTACAATTCAGATCTGATTTTTTTTCCTTAGTACCTTGTTTCCTTTCTTTATTTGCTTTTTTAAAACTTACATATCGTTACCACTTTTTGGGTTACTCTGTTTTTGTATGGTAAGATTGGTTCCCCCTATTACTTTCCTTCTTCTGCTTCTCTGGTATTTTTATGGTTAATCGCTTTTTTTTTTTTTTTTTTTTTTCCTTTTTGAGTCAAAATTTTGATGAAATTTTTTGGAGATATATTTTCTTTTGCTTTTTAATTGAATGGTGAAAGATTGCTTTTTTTTTCCCCCTTTTATGGTGGTCGTATTACTAGTAGTAGCCATTGATGATGCATGAGAAATGAAGAAAACAGCTGATTGGAACAAAGTGAGAATTGAATCATGAAAAACCTTTTCTTGGGTTTCAAGGAAATCATCAAAATTGCTTCATGGTTTATTGTTCTTTTCCTCTTTTATTTCCTTTTTGCTTTTTCATAATTTGGTGGAAGATCCAGTGCTTTGCCTTTTATTTAGTGGCTGAGAGAGAAAAAAGAATGGTGCCTAATTAGGACGGCTGGGTTTGGTAGAGTTGGGTCCCAATATCATGTGAGAAAAATAAAAGTAAAAGTAGCATGGATAGGAATAGCTAACATGTCGGTAGTTGCTATCAGATCTTGAAACACTAGTATATATCCCTTCTTTCCAAGTCGTTTTATTGGTCCAGCGCCAACAAACCTTTACATTTCTATTAATTACCGATTCTTTTCGTTCTGGGTTTTGTTGGAACTTATATATCAGTCACTAATTCTATGTGCATGAGCTGGATCTGTCTTAAAGACCGTGACTTTTTCAATTGATCTGCTCAGTTTTGCTAGTTTAGTGTTTGCCAGCTGGAAGAATCAACTTAAAAGTTTTTACTTTTATTTGTTTTGCTTTATATTGATTGATGGATTTTGATTGATTTAATGTGCTATGTTTTTTCATTTGGAGTTCTTTTTGGCATTGCTGTAAAGTGTCCAATTTCATACGTTGATCTGCCTGAAACTTTTAGTCCATTCTGTTTTACAGGATCTTCTTATTGTCTCAGTTCTAATGTTTATGGGAGAATGAAAACTTTGCTGTTTATTTGGTCCATTACTATACCATTGCATTCTCTAATTAATGAGTTTTAGTTCTACAAACGAGGTAACTTAGGAATAGGATTGAAAACTCATAATGCTACACCTATATTTGTGCTCATACGGTAAGAAACTGGTTAAATCTTTTCAATGTTTAGGGGGAGAGATTGATATTAGCATTGTGGTTATATGTTTTATCAGACTTTGAGATCGACAACTTGCCTATTGTTTGCAGATATTTGTTCATTTGCGGAATCATGAAGCACAAAGATGGAAAACCGGTGTCTCATCCTGATAAAAGTTCCAGGATTGTTCCCATGGCAATAATGTTTGTTGTCCTATGTGGGTTTTCATTCTATCTTGGTGGAATCTTCTGTTCTGAGAAAGACAGAATTGGGGCCAAGGATGTCACAAAGGTGGTCTCCTCTCCCAAGGAATCGTCGGTTGCTCCTCTCCAAATTAAATCCACTGCATTTCCTGAATGCAGCAGTAACTATCAAGACTACACTCCATGCACAGATCCAAAGGTATTTACTTCATTAGTTATTACATGGTACCGTCAGTTATTTAGATAGCCATCCAGTGAAAATCGAGATATTGCTGATTTATGTTTATTACACAGAGGTGGAAGAAATATGGTAACCATCGGCTTACTTTCATGGAACGCCACTGCCCTCCAGTTTTTGAAAGGAAGGAATGTTTAATTCCACCACCGGATGGGTATAAGCAACCAATCAAATGGCCAAAGAGTAGGGATCAATGTTGGTACAGGTATTTTGATCTGTTTCTGATACTTGTTATTGTTCTCACATGTTTTTTCTTTTAGCTAGAATTGCTAGGTTCAAAACTCTGGTTTTGTTAGTGTCACTTATTTTACCACGTGGATCTGGCTTCAGAAATGTACCGTATGATTGGATTAACAAGCAGAAATCTAATCAGAACTGGCTGAGAAAAGAGGGAGAGAAGTTCCTCTTTCCTGGTGGGGGCACTATGTTTCCAAGAGGAGTCGGTGCCTACGTCGATCTGATGCAAGATCTTATCCCTGAAATGAAAGATGGAACCATTCGCACAGCCATTGATACTGGGTGTGGGGTGAGTCACATTCTCATTTTCATCTTCTTTTCATGAAAGAAAATGTGAAATTTGAGTTGTCGGAATCCATGTTGCAATAAGAATGGTAATTCCATTCATATAGGTTACCTATTTATCTGTATGGAATTCTGTCATGTAATCCAGTTGATTGTTTTTACTTCTAGGTTGCTAGCTGGGGAGGTGATTTATTAGATCGCGGGATTCTAACTGTTTCTCTTGCCCCAAGAGATAACCATGAGGCTCAAGTCCAGTTTGCATTAGAACGTGGAATTCCTGCAATTCTTGGCATCATTTCCACACAACGGCTTCCATTCCCATCAAATGCATTTGATATGGCTCATTGCTCCAGATGTCTTATCCCATGGACAGAATTTGGTTAGTCTTTGTTTTAACCCTGTCAAATGATTTGCTATGCTTCTTGCTCCCAGTTTATGTGGGAACTAGCTCTGCATTTGTGAATTGATGCTGAATAACTTTCATAAGGTTCTTCATTTTTGTGGATTTTAGGAAGGCTTTTGAAATTCAGATGTAGGATGGATGCTACCGACTTAACGTTTTTTTTTTTTTCTAGATCTATACTTATATGATTAGTTGATGAGGTTCATTTCCTCACCTTGGCCTTCCTATTACAATTGCATATTATATTACTAATTGTTTTTTTCTCAAAAATAGAATTTTGTTGGTTTCAGGTGGAATTTATCTTCTCGAAGTTCACCGTATACTCCGTCCTGGTGGTTTCTGGATTCTGTCTGGTCCCCCTGTTAACTATGAAAACCGTTGGCGTGGCTGGAATACTACGGTGGAAGAGCAGAAATCAGATTATGATAAGTTGCAAGAACTGCTGACTTCGATGTGCTTCAAATTGTATGACAAAAAGGATGACATTGCTGTGTGGCAGAAAGTTTCAGATAATAGTTGCTACAGTAAGCTTACCAATCCTGATGCCTACCCACCCAAGTGTGATGACAGTCTTGAACCAGATTCAGCATGGTACACTCCACTCCGCCCTTGTGTTGTTGTTCCAAGCCCAAAAATTAAGAAATCAGTTATGGAGTCCATCCCCAAATGGCCAGAGAGGTTGCATGTTACACCTGAACGTGTTTCAGATGTTCATGGTGGAAGTGCTAGTGCTTTTAAGCATGACGACAGCAAGTGGAAGATTCGTGCAAAGCACTACAAGAAGTTGCTACCAGCACTTGGATCTGATAAGATAAGAAATGTAATGGACATGAATACTGTTTATGGAGGTTTTGCTGCAGCTGTGATTGATGATCCCCTGTGGGTCATGAATGTCGTCTCGTCCTATGCTGCCAACACACTTCCTGTGGTTTTTGACCGTGGCCTCATTGGAAGTTTTCATGATTGGTAATCTGAACATGCTTATATGAATTTTGAAGTTTTCACTTTGTGACAAAATTATTACCTTAAATGGGTTGGATGTCATTAATGATACTTGGGATTGTTATGGTGTTGATTCTTTCTTTTCTGCTTTCTAGGTGTGAAGCTTTCTCAACTTATCCTCGAACTTATGATCTCCTTCACCTTGATGGCCTCATCACTGCAGAAAGCCACAGGTAGTTAAGGGGCACCTTTCCCTTCTCTTCTTTTCTTTTTTCTAGGTTTGACCTGAACTTGATTAAGAAATGCTGTATCTTCCATCAGCTGGTTTAGTGGCATGGAAAAGTCAGTACCTATTTTTCTTAAAATACTAGATAGTGAATGAACTTTCGTTTTTATTTGACTTAGATAGTCTAGGAGTGGTATGGTTCCCTAGCCAGAGGATTATTACTGCTGTAATGTTTGTTTATTTCCTTAAACAATAAGCAAGGAATGCCAAATTGGAAAGTAGACATCATAGTGTATTGGCCTTTGTGATTCTCACGATTGTTTGTGCTTGCACAGATGTGATATGAAGTATGTGCTTTTGGAGATGGATCGAATCCTACGACCCACCGGTTATGCAATAATACGAGAATCCAGCTATTTTGTGGATGCCATTTCTACCATTGCCAAGGGTATGAGGTGGAGCTGTCGTAAAGAAGAAACTGAATATGGGGTTGAGAAAGAGAAAATATTGATTTGCCGGAAGAAACTCTGGTATTCGTCTAACCAAAGTTCAAGATGACAAACAAAGAGATCCGAATCCTATCTCTTGGAGAGCTTATATAACTGCAGTACAGGATACCAGGGGATGAAAAGTTGAACATCTTACACACATATTAGTTTATTCAATAGAAGCCAAGGATCCTCAAGATCAACATTGGAATTGAGGAATTAGCTACCCAATAACAGAATTTTGTTAATTTATAGTATCAATTAAAGTATAAATAGATTCTTTGTAAGACATCTATACATTCCTGGGATTGTACTATTATTATTATTATTTTTTTTCATTTTCTCATCTACTTGTCTTTTATTTTGTGTTTTGCCCTTCTTTTTCTCCCACCTTCAATATGTAAAAACTTGGACGATCAGTGAAAATTGGTGATGGACTCGATAAACAACTCCATCACGCGCTGTTGTTTTTATATATAATGTAATGAAATTTGGTTCCTTGATTTTTGAAATTTTCATCATATGCTGCTGCAGCTCTGTTTCTTTCATATTAGTTGCATGGGCACTTGGAGAATCTTTGAACTTAAGAGACAAATGTTGAGCACATTTATGGGGAGCTTGAAAATTGCTTGTAGTGCTGGGAAATTGCTTGAAGATTGCTGGGAAAATAAAAAGGCTAGCACGTGGAAAGTAACACGTGACCACATGTAATAAGTTAATTAGCCATGTCATCAGATCGTACATGTAATTCAGTTAGTTGAGTTGAGTTTGTTAGGAAAACAGTTACTGTATAAATCAAGAGCAAGAGCAAAAACACGGGAAGAGGCATTCTGTTTTGGCATTTCATCTTCTTTGTTTTCTCTCTCTGATTTTCTTATGTAATTCTTTTCCTTTCTATTGTTCCATCTGATTTTTGTAATTCTAAAACTTGTTTTGATTCTTACATTCATTATTCTTGTATTTGATTGAAATAATACAAAATTCCTTTGAATCACTACAAGAACTAGTTAATTCATCTCATTGTTCTTAGTTTGGAAATTTGGAATGTATCAAATTGGTATTAAAGCATCAATTTGGCACCTGTGAGTTAAGAGGAGAAGCAAATATGGCAAAGACAAATATAGAATTGAAGAAGTCTGGAAGAGACAATAGCTCATTTATATCGGGTAATCTCCGACGTTAGTCATAAATGTTCTTCCGTGTTCAATAAACATGATTTTGAAATTGCATTGTTGAGAGTAGGGGCGTACGTTTCGTTATTAGGTTTGGTTTCGAAATTTTTTGATCGATTTTCGGTTAATCGATTTTTCTAAAAAATTAATCGAAACCAAACTGAATATTATTAGGTTTTTTGATTCGGTTTTGAAATATTTTGATTTTTGTGTTCAATAATTCGATTTTCACTCGTAATTATCTATACTTTTAATTTTTGAAAGGATTATGCACTTTCAACAAAATAAGTTTAGTACTTGCATTGCAATTTAGACTCTAGTCTAGCAAACAATTTATCTCACAAAAAGAGCACAAGATTTCCTTCCACACACAACCTAACCATGGTACGTCCGAATGACAAACCTTCTATATGTAGTCCGTAATGAACTAACGATGGGATAGTGGATGACCATGTTTTTTGATATTAGAAAAAAGCACTATTATCTTTAAAAGAGTACGGATTATGTGCCATTGCTATTAATCACCACCTAATCATTGCAAGAGCACTTTTCTCTTGAAATATATTCTCAATTTCTCCCTTTCTTTCTTAAATGAGAGTTATTCCATTCTACAATTTATGAGCTTTAAGCTTATCAAAGCATGTTGCCCACGAAGCAAGCTGCTTATCCAAAGAAAGGAGAGGCGAGCGGGGTGACAAGTAAGGAGGTAGGACCGTATGAGGCTTTGTTGATTACACAAATATTTGGTTGTAGTCGTACCAAACTCCCTTTGTTACTTGCATAAAGAGGATATAATTATAACAAATGTTTCCTCGTTACTAACAAGGACACTCCACCTTGTAATTTGTGTAAATAAACCAAACCACATAATCTCAAGATAAAAACATCAAGCATATTCCACACACTTAAAAGACATGCCATAAGATTTGATCGTAAATCACATCATTTCCTATCAAGAATAAAGTCTTGTAACACCGGCGGGAACATAATCATTAAATTGTTAAAAACACTAATAGCTAAAGTTTATGAAACCAAAAGTTAAAGTCTAAAGGCAAAGGCCAATGCCATCGCCACTACCTATTGGGTAGTGGCTATCTCCTACATGTGGCCGACTATCGCCACTTCCCATTGGGAAATGGCCATCCGTCGTTATGGCTAGCTAGCCACGGCCATTACCCACTAGGCGATGGCGGTGGCCTATGGGCTTGTGGCCATTCGGCATCCATCCTCATCCAAAATTCGACATTCATTCCCGCATCTCCCCTCCAAATTTCAAGTAGAGCGGTAGGCTACATCACCGTTCTTTACACTTCAATAATGAAAAAGCAAGCATGCCAAACAACAATTCAATTTCAAGTATTCGAGCAAAATAAAAGCGATAATTCAACATTCTCAAATTATCAAGTAAAATCGGTAATTTAACAAAGTAAAAGCAACAAGCCAACAACAAAAGCCAACAATTTAACACTAACAACTTGTCAAGTAAAATAATTCAAAAAAACTCTCAACCACAACCCACAAATAGTTAAGCAAAAGGTTAACCAAATGGAAAATCTTGCAAAGAAAAGAAAAGAAAATGTCAATTCTATAAAATATAAAGACATCTACAAACAAACATGGACACACACAAAGATAATTAATTAGAAACTTACCCATGTTAATCAAAAGATCAAACCACCATTAATTCATCATATATCTATCATAGGTGCATCCGTTGAAAGTTTTAATATATTTGAAAAAAAAATCATCATTTCAATATTAATTTAGAAGGAAAAAAGACAAATAAAAATGTAAGAATTGAAAAACTTACCGATTTCAAGTTTCTCAACATCTTGTAAATCTTCTTCGGTAGTAATTGGCCTCAAATTTCGAAGCTAATCTTGAGCACAATAAGAGCTTGCACAATGTTAGGAGTTAAAAAAATCCTAAAGGCATCAAAAACTCTTCATTCGGTGTTAAATACTGATTTTGAAGGAACGATAGATATTAAAGCTGCCAACATATCACGAGTCATTTGCGAAAGGATGAGAAATCGAAGAGAATTATTTTTCTATTACTCTAAAATATCAAAATTTCATACCTAATTTCGACGATTCACGAAGATACTTATCCAACTTCGATCTATTATCTTAATCTTCACTTTCATTGAATTTTTAAAATCATGACATCCTTGTAAGTGTCTTGTTTTTTTCTTCATGCCATCTGTTACATCATTTACACTTGAAACTTTTGTAATATCATTATTTTGACCACTAAGACCTTGATTTAGTGACAAATTGCAATATGAAGCATACAAGGCCTATGTAAATTCTCTCACATCATTTGTCATCTTTTCTCCAAGCCAATCACCATGTAATTCATTTAATGTAAATGCAACATAAACAAGTTTATGTGTTGGATCAAGTACGATTCCAATGTAAATCAACTTATTCATTTTCTTCAAGTCCCCTCAATACTCATCAAACTTTTCTCTCATTTTACTAGCCATTGAACAAGTATCATCATCAATAAAATCTTGCCATTCTCTCAAATCAGCTTCAAGCATACAAATTTCATCAAAATAATTATTAGAAGTGACATATGAATGACCCAAAATAGACAAAGTAAGGTCATAGAAATTTTTCAATATTGTCACCATCTTCCTACAAGTCCTCTAATCTCCAACACTAGGTGGCCCAAATATCCCATTACCAAGACCCATATTAAGTTCAATATTATATAAATGATCAATTTGCTTATATCTTCTAAAAGCTCTCTCAAAATTTTGAGCTAAATCTAACATTAAATAAGTTGGATTCCATCTAGTTAAAATATCTAGATTTAATAAACTTTTGGAATCAATCTTTTCAATCTTTATGCATTCTTTAAATTTTCTCAACCTAGCGGAAGATTATTTAACATGCCTCACATATTGCTTGAACACGAAGGATTTGCATATTTTAACCCATCGAAACAACAAGATTCAAATATGAGCCATACACATCATATGAAGTAATTCTCCATCGAAGATGTTATGACCCCAATTGTTAAAAACATCTCTCAAGTATCTAATTGCCATATCATTTGAACCTACATTATCTATAGTAATAGTGAAAACCTCTTCAATTCCCTAATCAATCAAACAAGTTTTAATAGCACTTGTCTAAATCAATACCCTTATAAATATCAATCGGATAAAAATTCAAAATATTTTTATACAACTTCCAATCATTGTTAATAAAATGAGTCGTTAAACATATATAATTAATTCTTTGAATAAACATCCATGTGTCCATAATGAGACAAACTCTTTGACAATTATTTTTCAAAAATTGCTTCAACTTTAATTTCTCATACATATAAAGGTGATATCAATCTCTTGAAATGGTAATCCAGGATGGAATTTTAAACTTAGGTTGTGTAATTGACATAAACCATTTAAACCCCACATTCTCTATGAATTTGAAAAGAAGTTCATCCACAACAACCATGTAAGCTAAATCATTTCTAATGTAATTTTGATCAAACTTCCATATGCTTAAAGTGTTTTCTCCTTCTTGAACACTTGAATTAGATTAAAGGTTTAATTCGGATGGATAGGGTCAAGCATATATGGGTGTTTTTGCATATGGCCATATGAGATTTAAATGCGGTAGTACGACTTCTAATAGGATGAGGAGTAATTACCTAATCATAATAATTACATCTCCCCTTAATGCCTTTATTTTCATCTTTAAACTTAGTGAAATGGTTTCATACAATTGATCTTGGCCTTATTGCTCTTCTCTTCATCTTTGTGTTCAATTGCATGTTTGATGTAGAGCCAACAACCATGTCTACTCGTTGGTTATGGATGGGTTAAACTCATAACTTTCGTATTGACATCCGAGGATCCCAACATCTATATAAATTCATGAAT